ATAACCCCAATATAAACCCAGTATAAACCCAATATAAACCCAATATAAACCCAATATAAACCCAATATAACCCAATATAACCCCAATATAAACCCAATACAAACCCAATATAAACCCAGTATAAACCCAATCTAAACCCAATCTAAACCCAATATACACCCAATATAAACCCAATATACTATAGGACGGCTTTATGAAGGTCACCTTGCTGGCAGTGAAATTTCCATGTTGTTGTCATCCTTGGACTGCAAAGACCAGGGTGCTCGCCACCAACCCACCACCACTACCACTACGCCTAAACAGGGGTAGGTTTGAACATATGTTTGACTTTCACTTGCCCTTAACTCCTATAGAATCCTCCTTAAAGCCATAAACAGTCAATTCTTATATGGCCCCCAAACCTACCCTAGCAAACCCTAAACCCTAAACCCTAGCAAAACCTGGACCTTTAAACCCTACCCGTAAATCCTAAACCCTAAACCCTGGCAGTCCAGGTTTGGCAGCGTTGGCCCCGGCACTGCGATTCTCTGCCGCTGGAGGCTTTGTGCTGACGGGTCGGCGGGTCGGGGGAGGGGGGGGGGGCTGCTGTACGGTTTAGGGTACTTAGTGGTGCTTAGTCTTACTGGGGTTTAGTAGGGAAGAAGGGACTATATGATATAGGGTTTAGGGTTTAGGGTAGGGAATGCGGGCATATCATATCTTATGTAGGAACTATGTAGGGACTATATTCCCGCTGGAGGCTTTGTGCTGACGGGTCGGCGGGTCTGCGGGGGCGGGGGGGGAGGGGAGGCGGTAGGGTTAAGGGTACTTAGTGGTGCTTAGTCTTAGTGGGGTTTAGTAGGGAAGAAGGGACTATATGATATAGGGTTTAGGGTTTAGGGTAGGGAATCATATCTTATGTAGGAATTATGTAGGGACTATATTCCCTTACTCCGATTCCCTACTACTGTAACCACCCGTCAGCGGTAGGAGTCTTTAGAAGATCCCCAGATGATATCGTATAATCCAATTCCCATTTCCCTACTAAGCAGTACATAGGCAGTTCAGAACGCGTAGCAGCATGTCATCGGAATACAGCAGCTACCGCACATAGAATTCTGAAGAATTGCCAGACGTGGAATTGTGAAGCGTTGCCAGTGAATGGCTTCTTGCAGTCAAGCCTGCAGTAGAATTTGCCTCAACTGTATTGTAGACCTCTGTGAGACCTTTCACTCCCAAGTCATATGGACAACCTTGTGCAGAATGAGACCTAATGAAAACTTCTTTCAAGCGTTTGAGCTCATATGCGCTGCTGTCTACGGCCGACATAGGGCTCCTTATAGACATGGTTCCCATCATCTTTTAGAGAAATTCTGAGTGTGTCAGCCCAACCTGCTAAGCCCTTAATCCCAGGACTCCACCCAACTCCCTACACCCTCAAGCACTTCAACCCTTTAACACTTCAGCCCGAAATCGTTGACCCCAACACACTAAACCCTAACCCTCAAGCCCTCAGGCCCTGACACCTCAGACCGCCGTGCAGCGTGTGTTAGACTTCCCTTATCCTAACAATGAATCTCCATCCCCACAATACACAGTTCACACATTTCACACAAAGTACCATGACATACCACAGCTGGGGGTTGGGGTGGCGGCTTCTATTGCAAGGGAGAAGGGATGGACTAAACCCTAAATCCCTACCCCAGCAACCCTAAACCCTGAACCCTAAACCCTGAACCCTAAACCCTAAACCCTGAACCCTACAGCCTATATAGACCCTACATGCTATGCGGCCTGAGCCATGGAAGTCTTTTTCACACAGCCCGGGACCCCGGCTATTGAGCCTTCAGATCTGTGTGCGGGGGGGCGGGGTCAACACAAGGCATCCTCCAAGATGCCAGGGGTTTAGGGTTTAATTAGGGGCTATATAGTAGTATATGAGGTTTAGGGTTTAGGGATTAGTGTTTAGGGTTTCGCAAAATTAGGAGGACAGTTTTGGGGGTACACATAATCAGCATCAGCATATTTCGGGGTCTACGTTGGGTTCTCCTATTTAGGGACGCTACCATATGTATAGGTAGTATAGGGATATCTGTGGGGGCTACTAGGGGTTTAGGGTTTAGCCACAAATTAAGGACCTTGTCAAGGGTTCTTGGCTATTGGGGACCATCAGGGGGGATATAGGCAGTTATCATTTCGAGGCACCATCAATGTAATGTTTAGGGATTAGGGTGTCGGGTTTCCCAAAACTAGTGGTACCATTTTGAGGGTCCCCATGATCAGTATCATAGTATCTTGGGGTCTATCAACATTGCTCCTTGTTATGAGTTTGAGGCGCCAGCATTTGCTGCCTCACCTTATCTGCAGTATTCTCATTGCTGCTATCATCGCAAGGCATCATTGGCATCCACGTTGTATGCGTGGCCCACAACTTTCTGATTACAGTATATGTATATATATATACACCCTTCCTGAACAAAGTATCTTCCATGTCTATTTCCATTCCCCTACATAACCCCTATACAAAATCCCTGTACAACCCAGACGCTCAGTTCATTGTCCAGCTGATTCTCTATTTTAGCAATGGTTTCCATGTTTTGGTCCTTGCTTTCCTGTCCTGCTAACTGCCAGCAAGTCATGAGGCGCAGGAGCCGGCAGTAGCCGCCAAAGCGAAAGATGGCGAAACTATGCCACGCGGTGCCTTGGACGGCATTGCTTTGGGTTATGAAGGGGGTCAAACCAATTCAGCGTCGCTGTGACCTCCCACCATTTTGCATTGCATGAGGCCGACCCCCTTGTTTGCAAAGCCATACCTGTTCTGTGCTTGTACTGAGGTCCTTCGTTGCAGGATTTCATAGTGACCTGCTAATGGGCGCAGCCTTTGAAACATCGTGTTCCTTTTCATTACCAAGCCTTTCCAACTTCCACGAGCCTGCCCGCAACATGTTGGCTCAATCTAGGTTGCTTTCAATCAAGAAGTTCAAAGATAATGAGATCATATGCAATGCTGTGATGTCACGTATGCTTTGTCATCATAGGCTGGAAGCAGTCTCTGTCCAGAAGACAGCATCAAAGTCATCATGGACTACCCATCACTGCAAGCTGAGGTCATATTGCAGCTCTGTCCATACCTAGCCTTCGAAGTAGCTAGTTCTTGGGCTTGTCCTGTGCACGATTGCACCACGATGATGGCTGCACGAGTTTTTCTATTGTGCTTCGCCACTGCAAGTGCTGCTGAGACGTGGCACCTTGTAGATCTCGCGCAAGTGGTCTGCCCGACGCCAGTGAGCAGCAACCCAAATGCACCACCCTACCCCGAGTACAATCTGGGCATCAACTACACAAGTTCCATGCAAGTCGATGCTCCCCACATCGTGAGCTTCATCCGCGCAAGCCAACAGGCAGTGACCATCACCTTCAGCATTGAGGATGCCAACGGACAACAGGTTGTCCCAGAGACCACAGTCAATCTGCAGGAGTTGAGTGATGCTGTGCCCAGCACCTGCAAGTGTACCATGCCAACTCTCCCAGCAGAGGTGGAGGTTTTTCAAACTTGCGTTACAGAATCCTCATAACTGCTCCATTTGGTACGGAAGCTTTCCGAAATCTCCGCAGCTGGAGCTTTCCTTTAAAGCCCCGGTGTGCTGATCAGTTCAAGGGGGTATGGGCGGGGGAACGCAAAATGAGGACCGGGGTGTATCGGGGGGTGAAGCGGTGTCCACTTGTACTGCCTCTTGGGCAAGTCTTCCCCGTACAGTGGGTCAGCCTTCGCAGCCCGTTGCCCCCATGGCATCGTGCGGTCAATGATATAGGGTATACCCAGACCCCCTAAAGGATCCCAAAAATGGAACCCCCTAATAATCCCCTAGTTTCCCCAATGTAGTAATGGGTTCATATTGGGGGGGGTCTAGTTTTTGGATCCTTTAGAGGGTCTGGGTAATGAACCTAGAAGCCCCCCCCCACTCCCTCTGTGGTCCTGTGCCTGTGGTTTAGGTCTCGTGGTTTCATAGCGGCTTCTTTCCTACTAGAAGGCCACAAAAGATATTCCTGATTTTGGGAACTCTGACAACCCTAAACCCATGCCAGGTGGAAGCCACTTATGGTCAGAATTACGGCGCTCAATGTCAAGCCTGGGACAACGCGAACTGCGGTGAGCTCTGGGGCAACGTCTCCTTGGGCTCCTTGGCATTCAGGTTTACGGTTTAGGGTTTAGGATTTAGGGTTTAGGGTTGCGGGTTTAGGGTTGTGGGTTGAGGGTTTAGTTTAGGGGAGTTTGGCAAAAAGGACCACTCTATTTTCCCAAGGGGGGAAGCCACTGTCCCTGCACAATGCCCAGATGGCACACTGTTTTGTGATTGCCCACTTGAGTAGTATTTTATTTCGGGATACTATGGTGCCCAATATAGAGTAAGATTATATCCTCCTTTTGGGGTATAGTCTTCTATATAAGGAATATAATCTTACTGGGTTCAACCACCAATAAAAACACTACTCACTTGATGAATGGTTCTTTGGATCCGGCGGCTCGCATCTTTCAACTCTTAGCCCCATCATGCCTAAACAGAGAGCTCGACGCCCAGATGAGCCATAGTCTAAACTCCAAGTATCCCCCTACATAACCCCCATAATAGTCCCCTACATAATTTTTTGTATAACCCCCTTTAAGGAGTTTGCACTGTAGCTCAGATGTCAGAACTTCTGAGGCTCCTGGTGCTGTCGACCCTGGTGCTATGCCACCAGCGACTGTCCAGATGCATATTCGAGCCAGGCCTGCAGATGTTATGTTGGGGTTATATTGGGAGAATGGAAACTCAAATGGAAGTTACTATTTAGGGTTTAGGGTTTAGGGACCCATATGAGCCATAGTCTAAACTTCTTGGGGGGGTTATATAGGGGATTTATCAGGGAGTACTCTAGGGGTTATTAAGGGAACTCCCTCTTTTTATACCTCACAGATTTCCCAGAGATCCCAATTTGGGGAAACACCAATGTTTGTTTCCAAAGCTAATGCAATCTTTGTATCTTTGGGGATGTTCCCAAAATGAGCACCTTTCTGAGGGTCCCTATACTCAGGATTGTAGTATTTTGCGGTCTTCATGGGGGTCCCCCATTTAGGGAAATTGCCATATGGCCTAGCATGGACTCAGTGTGCTTTCAGGCTCTTCCCGGGCAATTCTTCAGCTATGCGGCCTGCAACTCTTTTTCACCAGTGTCTCCATGCACATGGACTGAGATTGCAGAGACCAGGCTTTCCGTTGACATGTAGTGTTTTCCGTATCTGGCTCCCCAGTATATTCCATTTGACCACGAAGAGCGTATGTTTTTTTTTTCCAGAATTTGCTTCACAGCCCAGGAGAAGAATGATCCATGCAAGTGCAAGAATGCTGGCAGCATCTTCAATGCTGCAATGTTGGAGAAATTCCCAGCCAGCTATGGCTCCACATGTGGCACTTGGGATATGACAAACTGCGCTACGAACTACCTCCCAGAACAGGTTGACACATGGTGCTGTGCTAGCTGGTGCCTCACCTGGCCAAAGCTTTAGCTTGTGAGGTTTTCCTGGTGTTTAAGTTCAAGCTATGGACGCTACAGGCTTACTGTCAGGAAGGGCCCTAAACTCTGTGCTAAGGTGCTATGTTGAGAAGGAGTGCTCTTCAGCTAAACAGTCTTTGAATCCGGGCATGGAAGGGATTCTGTTCTGGTCAGACAACGTCTGCGACGATGATCCAGCGTTGGTTGTCCAGTGCCCCTACAAACCACAGCCAGTTGCTGGGTTGCTGTTAAGGAACTTAAATTAAGTTACTATATTAGGGAATGCCTATCATTTTCTATATATACACATTATGGTAACTTAATCTAAGTTCTTTAACTTGTATTTACTATATATATATATATGTATACCCATTCTGATAACTTAATTTGAGTTCCTTAACAGCAACCCAGGTGGTCCCGGAAGGTGCTCGACTCAGAGGCATAGCGCGTGTAGCTGCCAGAAGTCAAGTTTCTCAAGCCGTGATTTGGGAGTTTCCCAAAATTAGGGGTATAGGGATTCTATAGGGTTTAGGGTTTAGGGTTTCACAAAATTAGGGGTACCTAGTATAATGTAGAATCAAATGGAAAAGAAAATGGAAAATGAAATGGAAACTGGGCTTATATAGGGGATTATAGGGATTAGGGTTTCCCAAAATTAGGGGTACGTTTTTTGGGGTCCCCAAAAAAAGGATTGTATTATGTTGGGGTTGTATTGGGTTCCCTTGTTTTCGGAAACTACTATATCGGCTGTTTTACAAAATACGAACCTGATCTGTACTATTTTTCAGGTGTGATCGTTGAAGGCACGGGATTTCGGATTTAGGGTTGAAGGGAGTACGGCTTCGGGTTTAGGGTTTGGGGTCCTGAGATCACGCAGGGAAAGCTGGAAACTACTATAGTATATTGGGTTTATACAGGAATAATTGAAAAGAACATGGAAACTACCATAGTATATAGGGGTAGTTCATCCTTAGATAAGGGGTATTTTGAAGAATTCCCATTTGGCGTTAAGCGTGAGCAGCACATGGAAATCCAGTAGCAGCAAATTACAGCAGCATACGAAAATGAGGGTAGTTGGCGTTTAGAGAGTACTGTACTGGGTTCTTGTTGAAATACGATTAACTATGATTGAAAGACATTGTTTGGGGTTGTGGTGAATGTTGCCAGCAATTACTTGTAACTATGTGCTCCTTCATGTTGAGAGACGTCGTACACCAACACCCTATTGAAGTCCTTGCTGGGTTCACGATGAAGGGTTCGGTGGTCGATCAGGGCTGCGAGGCCTCCGAGAATGTTGGAACCCAAAGCCCACACGCGCATTGACTTTTTAGCGCAGGCACACAACTTACTGCGCAAACAGCCCCAACTGTAATCCGTATAGGTACTCCCCAGAAAGCCGTATATGTTCCGTGCGCATGCGTGATATGCAAACCACCAGTTTATATCACCATCATACTACGTACACCTGCTCCTGGGTGCTAGCTGTATCAGACCACAAGAAGACAAAGATGAATATCAACAGTATCAACAAATACTGGTGAGGACTATACTATATGCAAACTCTATATTTAGACTTCTGTCCAAACTCTCGACCCTCAACCCTTAACCCTTGATCCCATTTCCTGAGCCTCAGCCACAAATCCTTTACACCTAACTCCTAAAAAATGCCTAAACCCTAAACCCTTGACTGGCCCTCGACCCGACTCCTGACCCAAATTTCAAAGGCCTGCATCGTAAACTCTAAGCTCTAAACCCCCCAGCCCAACTCTCGAGCACTAAATCCTAAACCCCAAGTCCCAAGCCCAAATTGAAATTCCAAAGCCTAAACCCTCAACCTCAAACCCAAAACCCTAAACCCTAAACCCCAAACCCTAAACCCTAAAACCCTAAACCCCAAGCCCTAAACCCTACACCCTAAGCCTGAATTCATCTCTTGGCAGAGGTCCAGGCGCCAGCCTCCACCGCCGAGACCTTGTCAGCAGAGGCCTGCAGTTGCACCTGCATGGGTTGATGTTTAGGGTTTAGGGTTTTAGGGTTTAGGGTTTAGGGTTTTAGGGTTTAGGGTTTAGGGTTTTAGGGTTTAGGGTTTTAGGGTTTGAGGGTTAGGGTTTGAGGGTTTAGGGTTTTAGGGTTTAGGGTTTCAGGGTTTAGGGTTTTTAGGGTTTAGGGTTAAGGGTTTTAGGGCTTAGCCCAAATTAAGACTTTGGGGCCTAGGGCTTACTATAATCTCCCTTGACATATCATAAAACGAATATGCTTATTCATTCCTAAATGTTATACTATAATTTATAACGATTAGAAAATAGGAGCTTAGATTTTAGGGCTGGGGGGACGGTTTAGGATTCGGGGTTTAGGGCGTGGGATTTAAGCTTAGGGGTTGGGGTATAGGGCTTAGGGTTTAGGCTGAAAGGTTGAGTGTATATAAAAGCCTTAAGGATTCAGGGTTAGTTTGGGATTCAGGGTTTGGCGCGCTTTACCCAACTGGATACTGTAGTCTTTGAACAGGTCATTTTTCGAAATATAGCCTGAAGAGGTGCTTCAACGCGGTTTAGGGTTTAGGGTTTAGGGTTTGCTTCATAGGGTGATTATATAGGGGTCGTATAGGGGATTTAGAGCGGATATCGGGGGAGTTATGGGAATATATGGTAGTTTCCCACATTAAGGGGACCCCAATATAGACCCCAAAATACTATACTCCCTATTATGGGGACCCCCAAAATGGTACATTTAATTTTGGGAAACCCCAGATCCAAAGTAACTACCATCCTCAAGAAGTTACGACAGACGTCCAATACAAGAGAAAGATGGTCCTCCTTCTGTATTAGTGGCCTTCTACAAGAAGAACATGGCCGTACATGAGCCAACCGCCTAAGGATTTTGACATGGGCTTAGCAGGGTTGGGGTTTGGGTGGATAAGAGCGTTCCTTGGGGGTGCCTGTTTCAGGAATTTTCGGTTTCAGGCTTTGGCGCTTTCGGGTTCAGGGCTTCGCGCAGGGTTTAGGGTTTCCACAGGGTATGGAACTTGATTTAGGCAGCAACAACTACACATGTATATTCCTTATAGGGATCGAGTATAGTAGACACTAAGACATGTCAAACAACGACCCAGCAGTCACTTGGCTCCTCCCACATAGCACCTAAACATGACTCTCAGATCATCCTAAAAGAGGGGACCTATAATCACTAGCCGCCATGGAAGCCCACGAGACAGGTCCTTTGACTAAGGACAGTAGTCTCTGCAGGGAGCCCAGTTGGGCTTCCATGTCAGTTCATGAGTTCATGTGGAGGCTCTCTTGCCTGTGTAAGTATACCCTGTAACCGGGGTTCTGGGACTCCTAGCAGGGTTGGTTAGGGATAACCATTGCGAATAGCAAGCAGGCTTTCTAATACGTCAAAAGAGCATCCGAGTCATCCCTACGCTCTATTTCCTCAAAAAACCTATGTATCCTTACATACCCTTTAATACTATATATACATATATATATATACACACACCTACATGGCTCTATGATGAGTCATCTAAAAATTAGGCGGACATGCGGGGTGACATGATACATAATCTAAACTCCCAGCATCTCCTTAATATCCCCTCTAGTAGTCCCCTATACAATCCCTTATGTTGCCCTTTAAGAAGTTTAGACCTTAACCCAAACCCTAGATAATCCTTTATATAACCCCCTTCAAGGTGTTCAGAGTGGGGCTCACATATCCTGGAAATCTGCAACCCCTGCAGGCTTCTGCCTTGCGCTTGCGATCAGCTGTTTCCTGCGGGCTTCGGGGCTGCGAAGCTGTTTGAGGAAGTTACTCTAAGTTGGGGTTTAGGGTCGAGGTTTAGGGGTTTAGGGGTTTAGGGGCTTAGCGGTTTAATGTTTAGGGGCTGAGAGGTTAAGGGGTTTAGGGGTTAGGGTTTAAGGCCCTGGGTTTAGGGTTTAGGGGGCTTCAGTTGCGATAGCAGAGAATCAAATGAAAAAGTCTTTGGATAATGAGATGGAAGCTCATGTTATATCGTGTTATATAGGGATCTCAGGACTTGAGCTTAGCTGCCAGAATCCGGCAACAACCCTCATATGTACCATGTATCCATATTATGCTAACATATTCTGAGCTCCGCAACAGCAAGCCAGTTTCATGCAAGTGGGGGGCGAATGTTGGCAATGTAAATGTAGAACATGCTATGCAAAACTAAACTGAGGCTCATAAGAAGCTTAGGCGTAGCTCTGCCCCTCAAGCCATTCAGGTAAGCTCTCCCGCGAGGGCACTCTCCCAAAGGTCCGGCACTTGAAGGCAGTAAGTTTAGGGGGTGTTTAGGGTTTAGGGCTTAGGGATTAGGGTTTAGGGTCTAGGGCCCAGGGTTGTGGGTGTCGTCACACCTTCCACACTCACCGACACTGCCGCTGGACATGGAGCTACTGTTCTTTCGAAAGCTGCCTATGTTGAGCGCCGTATGAGCTTAGTCTAAACTCCTTCAAGGCGGTTATGTACGGGATTAAGTAGGTTGGCTACTATAGACTAATAGACGAAACGTAGGGTGTATTAAGCAGGATACTGGGAGCTCAGACTATGGCTCGTAGTACTTGGAAGGTATTCAACTGTAGAGGGCTTAGGGTTGAAGTTGAAACTCTTCATGTTGTCATGGAGAAAGCCTTGCAACCCTGTACCATGCCTAAACTATTGTTAGTCCCAGGATTTAGGGTACTTGGGTGGTGCGGGATTTGCCTCACCAATGGAAGATACGTGTAGTTATTACTCTCATCGTTTTCTATACAGGCTTAATACACTCTATACACGAACAAACCATCATAACTAAACCCCAAACCCTAAACCCCAAGCCCTAAATCCCAAACGCTAACCCCAAACCCTAAACTACAAACCTACGGCCCTTGGACCCTCACAGTGAGAGCCCTTAGGCCTTAGCTTCCAAAATTTAAATCCCCCATCAAAGCCCATGACAGCCCAAGCGCCTGAGTGTAGTGGTACAGCCCTAGACCCCTTCTTGGTTTGGGGTTGAGGGTTTAGGGTTGAGGGAATACGTAGGGTTTAGGGTGTGTGGTGAAGCCCTAAGCCTAAACCCCTACAGTACAGTACTTATCCCCTGAAGCGAACCCTAAACACCAAACACCAGGCAACAAACACTAGCTCCCAAACCCTAAGCTTGAATCCTAAACCCAAGCAAACAAAACAAACAAAACTAAACCCTAAACCCTAAACCCCCTCAAATCTGTTCACCAGCATAAATCCGTCTCCACTTCATCGTCCATTTCCTTTTCCAATGGATTCTCCATTACGGCAATATCCTTACATGCCCCTATATAATTCCAACCCCAAACCCCTGAACCCCTAAACCCTCAACCCTTATACCCTAAAGCCTTACCCCTATATCCTCAACCCGAAAGCCCTAAACCCTAAACCCTGAACCCCCAAACC